CCCCGAGGTGGATTTTCTATCCGAGATATTTCCAGCCCAATCTGCGTCTGTATAGCCTTCAATCTTTAGATGATTATTCTTTGAGAACATTAGTCCTTTTCCAGGTGAGGACTTCAAGTATCGAAGAATTCGCATTACAACATTCATGTGATATTCGCTTGGGCAATGCATGAACTGACTCACTACGCTGACAGTGTAAGCGATGTCTGGGCGAGTATGTGAGAGATAAATAAGTTTACCAACCAACCTTTGATATCTCTCCTTATTAGTAGGTACTTGGTCTGGGTATTCTCCAAGTTTATGGTTTTGAATAATTGGTGTGTTTGCCGGTTTGCACTCCAACTATCCTACTTCGGATAGTAAATCTAAGGTGTATTTCCGTTGAGACAGAAATATACCTTGCCTTAATCTAGCAACTTCAATTCCTATAAAATATTTGAGCCCTCCCAAGTTCTTTATTTCAAACTCAGTTGCCAATTGCTTTTGAAGTGTTGCTATTTCTCCTAAATCATTTCCTGTGATAATCATGTCATCTACATATATTATTAAGGTTGTTACCTTCCCTTGTCGGTGCTTTAGAAATAGTGTATGGTCTGAGTTTCTTTGTTGAAAGCCATATTTCTTCATCGCAAGACTAAACCGCCCAAACCATGCCTGCGGTGATTGTTTCAGTAACAGGTGTCACCAGGTGGGATGTCCATGTATACCTCCTTTTCAAGATCACCATGGAGGGAAGCGTTCTTTACATCGAACTGGTGCAGTGGCCAATCAAGGTTTGCTGCAAGAGATAATAAAACTCTAACCGTATTCAATTTGGCCACTRGTGAGAAGGTCTCTTGATAATCTACGCCATGTGTCTGGGTATAACCTTTCGCAACCAGCCTCGCTTTGTATCTCTCGATCGACCCATCTACCTTGTATTTAATGGAAAATACCCATTTACACCCTACAGGTCTTTCCCCTTCGGGCAAGGTGACAAGAGTCCATGTTTTATTCTTCAATAGTGCCTCCATTTCTTCCTGTATGGCCTGAGTCCATTTCGGGTTTATCAAAGCTTCTTGAACACTGGTGGGAATATGATTTGAGGACAATTCTCGCACAAATGTTTTGAGAGGTTTGGAGAGTCTCTTTGTTGATACATAATTGGCAATTGGATACTTTGACCTTCGATCCTCAATATCTGGAGAATATCTATTTGGCGGTTTGCCACGATTATGCTTGAAAGGTAAAGTGTAACCAGCAAAAGCATTCATATCATTAGAGCTTGAAGGTGTAGTAAGAGAGTTTACCTCAGGAATGTTCTCATTCGCTTCAGGAATATTCTCAGGACATGGGTCTTCAAGTACTGTGGAGGTTAGGGTCTCTATTTCTGTTGGAAGTGGCGATGTAGATGTTTCTGGTGTTGTAGATGTCTCTCTAGAAACTATATCAGTTGTAGAAGGTTCCTCATTGACCACCATTTCTGGTCTAGAGTGTTCTGTATTATCCACCATTTTTGTTGAAGCACTATTATTCAGCCAGTCGGGTAGAAACCAGTTCTGTTCTTCACTCTGACTCTCCCCCTAAAGAGAAGAATTGGATTCGGAAGGAGAGTAGAATGTTTCAGATTCCAAAAAAGTGACATCCATGGTAACATAGGTGCGTTGGGTGGCTAGATCATAACATCGGTATCCTTTTTGATGTAATGTATACCCCAAAAATAAGCACCGAGTTGCACGTGGATCAAGTTTTGTGTGTTGACTTTTATGCAGATGTACAAATGCCACACAACCAAAAACTCGAGGTGGAATCATCAACACGGTTGGTAGAGAGACATGTGGTGAAAGAACTTGTAATGGTGTCTTAAAATGTAAGACTCGTGATGGCATTCGGTTAAGGAGGTGCACAGCAGTAGCAACAGCATCAACCCAATGTCGGTTAGGTACATGTGCTCCAAGTAACAAAGCACGATCAATTTCGAGTATGTACCGATTCTTTTTCTCAGCAATGCCATTTTGCTGCGGAGTCTGTGGACATGAAGTCTCATGAAGTAGTCCATGAATCCGGAAATAATCTTGGAACCGTTGATTCATATATTCCCCGCCATTATCAGACCTGAGAACCTGAATTTTAGTTGAGAACTGAGTCTTCACCATCATATGAAAAGATTGAAATGCAGTCAACACTTCATCTTTATGTTTCAGCAGATATAACCATGTCATGCGAGTGCAGTCATCCACAAAGATTACAAACCAGCGAAACCCAGACACCGTAGTTACCGGGGATGGCCCCCACACATCCGAGTGAATTAAAGCAAATGGAACTTTACTTTTATTCATACTTAAAGGATAGATAGTTCTATGACTCTTGACTAAGATGCAAGTGTTACATTGAAAATCATGAGGCTGCATATCTGTAAATAAATCCGGAAATAAATGTTTAATGTAACCAAATGATGGATGTCCCAACCGGCGATGCCAGATCCAAATCTGCTGTTCTTTGGTGTTACCTTGATGATGTGCATGATGTGCTTGACCCATACTAAGATCATCCATGTAGTAGAGCCCCCCCTCCTAGTACCATGCCCAGTTATCTCCTTGGTGAGAATATCCTGAAGAAGACAAAAAGTAGGATAGATGAGTACAACACAATTTAGATCAGTGGAAATTTGACTAACAGATAGTAATTTATGGGAGAGAGAGGGAATAAGCCAAGTGTTATTTAAGGATATTGCAAGTGACAAGGTCACAGTGCCTGCTCCTGTGATTGGAGATACAACCCCATTGACATTAGCAATTGTAGTCCGTCTTGGTGGTGAAGTTTTTAAAAAATCAGTAGCATCATAGGTCATGTGGTCGGTAGCCCCCGAGTCAAGTATCCATGCATTGCTATCAACAGTGTTATGGGAAAGATTGTTACCTGAGTCTGAGAGGAGTACGTCTCCTTGTGGTACTTCAACAGGTGGTGTGAATGAAAGTTGGGGTTCTACTGTTACCATCGTAGCCTTACCACCAGTTTCAGCCTTGTCTTGACATTTTCGAGCTTGGAGTTCATGCCACCAGTGGGGGTAGCCATGTAGTTTGAAGCAATTCTCCCGGGTATGTTTTGAGTTACCACAATGAGAACACTTAGTTCCATCAGAAGATGCTCGTGATTTAGAGGACATACCAGATTTTTCGTTGCTCAAAGAAAGAGAGCCCATTGAGGATGAAGTAGGTTGTCCAGTTTTAACACTTTTGGAGGCCAAAACAACTCCTGGAGTTTCAGTATTGTTACCGGTGATCATGACCTTTTACCGAATAGCTTCCCTACGAACCTGTGCGTATGCCTGTTCAACAGTGGGAAATAGATGCATTTGGAGTATATCTGCTCGAATCTTGTCAAGTCTGTCATCAAGGCCATCCAAGAAAATATATACTCTCTCTTCTTGAAGAAGATTATTATAACGTGAATATCCACAACACACTCCATTGGACTTTGGACGACGAAAATCAATTTCACACCACAAACCTTGGAGATCATTATAATATTTTTCAAGAGATCCTCCAGACTGTCACAGGCGGGTCACACGGCGTCGGAGATCGTATACTTGCGAGGTATTACTACCATCAAAGTAAGTAGTAGCAACAGAATCCCACACCATCTTTGTTGTAGGGAATCGGATAAAGTTACTGATCAAGGATACGTCCATGGAGTTAATTAACCAGCCCTTGACAATAGCGTTGTCCGTGCGCCATCTCCGAAAGGTTGGGTCGATCTGAGGAGGCTGGGGAAGCTCGCCATTAATATATCCCAATTTGTCTTTTCCGGAGATATCCATCTCAATAACTTGGGACCAAAGAGCATAGTTAGTGCCGTCCAACTTGATGCCAATCGGAGCCGCGGGAGTCTTTGTAGTTGAGGTCAGTCTGTGCAGAATTTTAACCATTCTGGTAGTCAATTCGGTGAGGGTAGGGTTGGATTGTTGTTCCCCAAAAGGATCTGAGGTTTCTGAATCGGACATGGTTGTATCTGCTGAAAGGCGTCCTTGCTAATGGCGTCTCAGTGTCCAACAGACCCTGAGGTCATAGATTAGTTGGCCAAACTTAAAGATGTAGTATATGATGCGGAGGACGTGGTGGATGATTTCGCTATAAAAACATCAGAACAAAGGTATGCAATAATCTCGCGAGAATAAAGGAGAAGAAGAGAGGACACTCACTCCTGCGTAGCTGCATCCGATGTTACCGGAAGGAATGAAGAGAAAGAGTATATAATAAAATTGTTGAAGATGCCACGACCCAAGAGGTCACCTAGAATAACGGAGAGAGGCTTCCCTTTTGGGTAATTTTCAAACCTCGTCTTCAGCATATACTCGACGCTATTCGGATTGGCTGTAATTGTGTTTTTGAGCAAATGGACATGGATGGTCTTGCTGGGAGACTTCTTGAGGAGATGGGTATACCAGTCACAGAGATTGTCGAATTCAATCGACCAGCTCGTAGTGAGATAACTTAATCATCCATCGTCTAGCAAGGAAATGCAGTGGCGTCTGATGCAGTTTTCATAACGAAGAAGCTTTCTGAAGAGCACTGGGAAAGCGGCTTGGATTGCAGGAACAACGTTTCTGATCTTGGTGGTTCCTATCAGGATCGAGAGCAGCAGATGAATGAGCTCGAGACGTAGAAGGTAAGGTAGACGAGTTGGTCACGGATCGATATGCTCTGATACCATGACAACTTGTGTATATGAAAGATATTGTTCTTCCATTTTTTCCTTGCATTCGTTCTTTACACTGAATGAGTATATATATACAGCCCTATTCTATCTTTCCTTGTTGTACACAAACTACTCCTAAGGTAAGAATTATCCCTTGGATTAAGGGATGACTAACTATGGACATGATAAGAATTGTCCCTTGAATTAAGGGATATTCTTCTAGTTTGACAGCTCATGCCAATAGGAACTTCTTAGGTAGTTCAGTTCAGGGGCGTCTTAACAGTCCAAATACTCCATTCACTCAAATAAGAGGGAAAAAAAAAATGAGGTTCACCTTGGCATTTCTTCTTCTTGCTCGGCTGTGTTTTGATGTTCTGGTCGTCACCGGGGATGTTGGGACTGCTTCCTCATATGAGCCTCCATACTTACGTATGTAGGAGGGATATATACCCTTTTCAATTTTGTGTAAGAGAGAGAGAGAGAGCACAATTAAGCATATTGATCACCAAGGCAGTGATATTCTGCCTTAATCTCTCCTTTTCAGATGTCTTAATTAGGTCCCATATAAACAATTCATCAACCTCTGATTACCTAATCTCTTGGATTTGGGTGCTTTCCATTCAATGGTTGACCCACTATCTGAACAGTGAAGATTGATGATTCCATGCCCACAATATATTCATATTGTTTAGGCCTTTAGGGGAGTTGGGTTTTATTCTATTCATCATCCTTCATGTAGTACAGTCAGTATTAGACGTCAGTGATACACAATGAAATATAGAATTACAGTGTAGTAGCTTCCATGAATGCTACCTAATTTCTCCTCCTTCTTCCTCCAGCAACCAGATGTAACGGATACGACCAAAATCAGTTTCCTGAAGGTGGCTTGTTTGCTGCTGCAAGCAATGGCGTATGGGACAATGGAGCAGCATGTGGCCGGAGGTATCGCATCAGGTGCATCAGTGGACTAAAGCGACCATGCAAGGATGGCTCCATAGTTGTGCAGGTGGTGGATGTCTGTAGGAGCAATCCGTGCCGGACGACTCTAGTCTTATCAAGAAGAGCCTTTGACGCCATTTCTAGAATCCCTAATGCCAAAATCAACGTTGAATATGCTCAGTAATAACTTATATATTCAACTCTATTTACTTCTGTAAATGTGTTTGATTTTTGCTCATTCTCCATGCAAGTTCTGTACTGTAAATTGCTGATCACCCTCGGTTCTTATTTTTGTAGGATTTGAAATGGTGGACACTCGGCTCCCCCAAGACATTTGCAAGGCGTCTTCTGTGTTCTTAATTTGTGAAGTACTCTGAGTTGAAAACTAGAGTAGTTTTGTTTTATTCTTCTATGTTGTTACTTGTTGGTAAGATAACTGCAAGGAAAGAGATGTGTTTGAGGCTTTGAGCACAATAAATTGTCAAAAGCCTGCTCATTTGCATGGTGTTATTATCCATGCATGATACGACTTGGGTGGCTTAATGTTTCAAATTCTCAGATCAATGTTAAGATTCTTGTAAATTAATTGAGTCCATGGAATTGGTTAGGCTGCATTTGGTTTAAGTGCAAATCTTGACTGCACGCAAACTTTTTACCCTGTTTAGTTTGCTTTTCTTTGTAACTATGATTTGCATTCTTATTTGATTCAAAGTTTGTATTTTTTTTTGTCTTTTTTGCACTTACTGGCAGTGCTAATTTTGCATTCCAAAAACTGAAGCAAAATTTGCATCATCTTCCTCCCTCAATTAATCTTTCTAATATAAAGCGGGAACCACATCATCTTGCACCCTATCTTATTCCTAAACAAATAACTCTCCTCCTACCTCCATTCTCTTTCACCGAAGTGGAGGTCACTTGATTTTATACTACCAAAACAAAAAAGATTTTATTTTTATTTTCTTACAAACAAAAAAGACGGTCAAAAGTAAACCAGAATTTACACTCAGCCCTTTTGCACTTCTATACATTTACACCAGTGCAAATGAAATTTATACTGCAGCCAAAAGCAAGTTAACCTAAGTTTTACTGGTCAAGAAGAGAACATGACCCTTAATCCAATGAAATATGAGTCCTGTTTTCACTGGTCAAGCAATCAAAGTCAGAAGTTCAAAGAACTCATTTTGCATTGCAGGTCTATGTTTGTACAAAAAAAAGCCTAATTTGAAAACTCAAATGGAACATTACAAACTATTGGGTTACAATTATTTACTCAAACAAAACTAAATACTCTCAGTCTTTGTTTCGAATAACAAATGAGGAATTGAGAATGGAAGCAACATGTCGATGGGGGTCGGTATTTCTTACCTGCTTGGTGAGGAAGAAAACTTGCTTGCAATTGTGACTGCTAGCTATCTCTTAGTGTTGATTCTTGAAAATGGGATGAAGTAAACAATCTCCTTCCTGTTCTTGCTTGTTGTTTTACTGGAATTTCTTTTTCTACTAAAAACAAGTATAATTGGATCTGAATTTCAATAATGGATACATCTTATACAGACTGCTCATTGTTAAATTAGATATGACATATATGAACCTTCAAGTTTCTCCATGTTGTCAGATTTCAGTCAACAATTGGACTGCAAAACAGATAAGAAACCTAAATCAATTGCAAGTTGGTGAGCCAATGTTATTTTCACAACATTAATGGAGTTGGGAAGTTTGATATATGCTTGGAAGGCTGATGAAAGGATTTAAATCACAGAAGGACAAGAGATAAAACCTCAATAAACCCATGTATTTGTACAAAGCCCCATTTTCTTAGTTTGTACTCTAACAAAACTAAGGTTTTATTTTTTATTTTTTCACTTATACTTCAAATTATTTTATGTTCAAATTTAAGCGTCCAACTACAGTGTATTTCAAATATTTGCTGCACGTTACATTAAGTTTTCAACCAATCCAGTTAAAGATGTTACACAGTTTATTTGTTTCTCATTGATTCATGTTATACAAGGTGTACTTACGATTAAAGACTTTAACAATGTCTACCAAACATGCCAGAATGCATTAAAGTTTTAAGCCACCCTAAAAGGCTAAAACAATCTAAAATTTTATATCTTAATATATAAGTTCAAATATAATTAAAATTGATAAAACATTAAATTGTTCATTTACCAAACAGTTTTCTTGTGAAGAAAGCAGCAGACAGCCCATGCAATGCACTGGCACAATGACACCAGTCAAAAGGGTTTCTTCTATTCTCAACTCAGTTTTACTGTTTCTTATCCGTAATTGCTAATTGGTTTAAACCCAAAAATGTTTTAAAGCTTACTGGGTCACTAGATCACTAGTCTCACTGTCTCATCTGGACCAAGTTTCACAATATTGCGTTTACCCGTTGCTCTGTAAACAGGATGGGGCATTTGATGGAGCAACTGATAAGCTCTCTATTTTGAAATGAGAGTTTGGTTCAGTTTGGCCCTTTACATGTTTGTCTGAAAGTCCAATGCCCAATGTGACATCCAGCCCAATTATTTCAAATTTGGATTATCTATTTACATAATGAAATAGTTTTCAGATTTGACGGAGGTTGTTAATTTACAGTACGCTAGTTATCTAATAAGTTGAAGGGGCTAGAAGAATTAGGAACAAACTAAAAAGAACTAATGATCTAAGTACCCATAATTTGATGATGAATCGTATGTCACTGAACAGAATGAAATGGCGAAACAGGATTCCTGTAAATCATCAGGATCCATGTCATGAAAGTTTGGCAAAAGTTTTAATGTAGCTGCCAACCTGACCACCCTCCTCCTTTATCCGAGCTCCGGATCACACCCGCGGAGTTAATTAATCCGAAGGATTTTAGATCAGATTGGGAATTAGGTTTCTAATAGTTGGATTGGATTCGAACATGGCTGGATCCAATGTAAATCCAATATCCAATTACGAAAAACCAAAAAATGAGTTGGACTCCAACTCTCCAAGTAGACTCGTTGCTGACATTCTTTCTCCTTTGACCTTTGACCACAATTAGATATGAAAAATAAAAGGTTTTATGGCCACAAATGTATTGTTGAGGTGGGAGACTTCTGGCAGCCCTCAAAAAGTGCAGAGCCATGAAAACAACTGAAGGGATAGACTTTACTTCAATCCTCCCAAGCAATATGTTAGAGTCATTACTCCTTTTTAACATCACAGCAACTAGTAATCAATTATAAGTGGAGAGGTCACTAAAGGGGTCAATCTACTCTACCCACTATGAAACTTGAAGCAAATCAACAATTATAACCGACTCATAATTTTTAAATTGGACGGCCAAGAACCCATCAATCCCATTGTTCCACTTGTACTTGTCAAGCAGTCAATAGATTTAATAACCTTGTTTGATTATGTAATGATAAGCTTAGCAAAAGCTTAGTTAATTTACTAATTAAAGGATATACCATACTAAGTGGAGCATTTGATAAGCACGCTAAGAAGTATGTAACCATCCATTTCACTTCAATAATTTAATGCTCAGTTCTCTTTTTTCCTCCTCTAGTACTTTATATGTAACTCTGAACCATACTGTTTAATTAATCACTTGGCTGTCTCTTTAGCTGCCTCTTAGCACAGCAGACGTAGAGAATTGGCACCTAAAATTAAGAGGAAAACAGGTTTAACCAAGAGGATGTTTAGCATCATGGTGTCTATCTGCTGTTTCGTTGAAATAGTTAGCCATAATAGCAGAGCAACTTATCAATGTTTATGCAGAAACATCAATAGTTCAATACCACATCTTACTTTGTTAGAGTTTAATGCTGGAGATCAGTCGTAGAATCTTCTAAGGCAGGGGTGGCTCATGGTTGGATGTGATGTGGCACATTGGAAATTGGAAAAGCAAATCACTTGGTCCCATTGCAACTCTTACCAATATAAAAACATTGAAATTAGGTGGGTGTTTGGTTGGAGGGATGAATTGTCGAAATCATGGTTTTAAAAAACAACATCGTTCTGGCCACCAGTTTCCTGAACTGTAGTCCGTTCTGACAACAAAAATTAAAAAAATAAAAAATAAAAAGCCAAAAACCTTTGAACGGGTCAACGGTTCAACCACTTAGATCAGTGGGTTGTTGACCGATTCAACGGTTTTTGGCCAGGGACCGGGTTTGGGGTAAAATGGAACTGGTTGCCTAGACGGTTCCTGGGCTGAACGGTCCAACCATCCAGGTCAATGGCGGTTCGAAAAACCATGGTCGAAATCATTTCTTCTAGAATCAGTGATTTTGAGTGGTTTTGGTGGCAATGCTGGCAAGGTGATTTCCTGCAACTATCTAGACATTATTGGCTTGCACATTATTGACATTGACATTTCATTGCCATGTCAGAAACCAATTCAAAAATCACCTCCTTATCATCTCCAGAGGCTTTTAGGCATCACCCCAGATTACAAAATTTGAGACTAACCGATTCCTTCACTGATATTTGAGGAATCAACCTTAACAGAATAGTTTCTTTCTTTTTTTTTTCCACAAAATTTGAAGAATCAGCTAATGTGACGACATTATAAATCAGAATCAGCAAATGGCTTCCTCTAGTCAAACATCCCCTAGGACCTAGCTAGGTGTGTATTGCATTGTTGATTAATGCTCCAAACACGAGCACAATTAAGGACCACGATGCCAGACACCATTGGAACAGGGAGATAGAGACAAATCGGTACTCAAGTAGATAAACAGTTGAAAAGTGTTAAATGGGTCTAAATTCTAGATAAATCATATATATAACTAATGGGTTGATCTAACAACAGATGATTGAGAGCTAGCTAGTAGCTAGAAGAGAGAGTAGCCAAAGTATAAAAGCATTCAACCATTCTAAGGTTGTCCATTCATTGTATTTGGACCACTTTGAAGTGGGATGTGAATTTGAATAAGTATACGTTTTCATTATAACCATAGACATTCTGTCTACTGTCTAGAACCTTTGATGCAAGACCAGAGCTTCTAGCTAGCTTGCCAGGAGCTATTTTACTTTGAGAGCTGAAAAAAACAGTGCACAGTGGGAGCGCACCTCACTAACAGCCGTAGGGCACTAAACTTCTCCCGTTGACGTCAACCAAAAAGTGAAGAAGATGACAGAAACCCACAGCCGTCCAGAGGAAGAAGATAACATGATAAGGTCATATACAGTCACTATAGCCATCAAAACCAGAAAATGCCTAGGGTGTGTTGTAGGTTCTGAGAGGGGGAGAGAGAAGTCGGTTTCTGTGGTTGGGAAATGGAAAAGCAGCCCGCGTTTGGTTCAATTAATTTAAGTTGGGGTTGGTTTATGTCACTATTGCAGAAAGAACAGAACTTCACACGTTTTGATATTTCTTGAATGCTGTAGTGGGGGATGGGGGTTCCGAGTTCAGTATAAATTAGAGCAGCTCTCAGGCTGATCAGGGGCGTCTAAGTCTAACTACTTGTACTTGAATGTCATTGAGCCAAGTAACAAAAATGAGGTCCACCTCCACCATAGCAATTGCTCTTGTGGCTTTGTTGTTTATTGACGTTTTCTTTGTCTGGGGGGACGTTGGCACGGCTACGTCTTATGATCCTCCATACTTGCGTAAGTATCAAGGCTTCATACCCTCTTTGAGTCTGAATATGCTGGCTACTAAATCAAATAGTCAGCTGGGTAGGAGTTAGAAGGTGTTTGATGAAATGGGTATAGTAATCTAACGCAAGATATATAGCAAAAAGTGCAGTTTGCCAAACACATACACATGCAATTTTCTTTGGTCAGAAGTTGATTGCTTTGACACCCATTGACACAAGTAACTGTTGGTCAGTCTGTATGTCTAGTGCACCTCAAGATAGATTGGCTTAGCCCCTATGCGACTACTTAGGTGGGGACCGGATCTGCTCCTCACACCGGGGATGTGCCTGTGACTGTGAGGTTGTTGTGAGGCGTCCTGTGTGAGAAGCAGATCCCAATTCACTTAGGTGAGGCGTGTCTGTCAGTCGAAATCAGTAACAGTTGAGTAGAGTCCACCACTAAAGAGTTCTGATCGTGAATGTTTTTTTTTTTTTTTCTTTTTTTTGTGAGTTGTGACCTCATCATTGTATCAGTGATGCAGCAGTCTCGACCCTACATGAGCTTTCATGTAGATCTCTTACCCACAAGAATTCTACCCATGTTTACCCATAAAACACTACCTCTGTGCATTGAAAACATTTCTCATGCATAATAACATGTAAGAGGATGAGATGTTCTCATGTGTGACTGCAGTGATATTAATTATATGGGTAGAGTTGTCGTGGGTGGAAAATCCGGTCTTGAACTTGCTAACTGGTCCCATGTTTTGGATAGCTTTGATCAGGCAAACACACTACCAGCTTTTTCAGAAAATTGTTTCTAGCAAGTACTCAGAGGGAAGTTGGCAATAGTGCAAATGCATTAAGCAGCCTGACGAATTTTCTTTTGTGTTTGATGTAGCAACCAAATGCAGTGGATATGACCAAAATCAGTTTCCTGAAGGTGGTTTATTTGTTGCTGCGAGCAATGGGATATGGGACAATGGGGCTGCCTGTGGGCGGAGGTATCGCATCAGGTGTATCAGTGGACTGAGACGACCATGCAAGGATGGATCAATAGTAGTGCAGGTTGTGGACGTCTGTCGGAGCAATCCATGTCCAGCTACTCTAGTCCTCTCAAATACAGCTTTTGGTGCCATCTCAAGGATCCCTACTGCCAAAATCAACGTAGAATATGCCCAGTAATGCCTTGCTCCCCTACTCATGCAGCTCTGAATTTTGATCTATACAAACATGCAAATTCTCTCCTGTATGCAAAATGTCATCTTGACCTTTCTGTTTGAATGTTTGCAGGATTTGAAATGGTGGAAGCTTCTCAAAATATTTTCAGAGGAATGTTCAGTGATGCTTAGTGCTGTATAATGGTTTTAAGAGCTTATTAATATGAAAACCAAGAGTAGTTTTGTTCTATGCTTGCGCGGTGTTGGAACAATATACCCTCAAAGAAAAGAAATTCCTTCTAGTATAATAAATTGCTTAATACTTGCTTATAAGACCCAATTTCACACAACAATGTGGGAATGTTGCAAATTGATTTTGCTGATGTGTCCAAGTAAAGCATGTTCTTTGTCTATTCAATTAATCAGGAGTCCAAAGGACTCGTTTACATGTCTAGTGCAAGGTTCAAAATTTCGATATGATATACCCCGGTACAGGCATGTTGTATTGTATCTTTTTGGGACGATACACCTTTTTTAAGGCATTTTAAGAAATTTTGTTTTTAATAATTAAATAACATAAAAGGCTCCCTCTGAAATTTTGAAAAAAAAAATATAAAGCATGATTCCCAAAGTACCGATACACCCCTTCCACCATATCGGGGTGAATCGATATTTTGAACCTTGGTTAAGTGTGATTAACAAATAAAGATCTTGAATTAGAGCTCGAGTCAAAATATTGATGATTCTGTAAAACACAATTACCATATTAAATATTACAAATATATATATATATATATTTATTTATTTAACATAGACAAGTGTTCTTAGGAGCACCTTCCACCACTATTTTAGTTGCCTAACCGGGGTGAAGGGGAGGTAAGAAAGATGGTGAGAGTGATGAAAACAAATGAAGTTAGAATTATATTGGGAAGCAGTCACAATGAAATTCAAGGGTCACGATTATGATTGAGGTTGCAAGGAACATCTACGATCACTGGATAGTTCTTTGTGTTGGTTCCGAAAAAATGGATGAAGCGAACAAACTCCTTCCAGGTACAGTGGAGTCTGCATTTCAATTAAGCGTGACACCTACAACAGAGCACTTGGTTAAATATGGCGTGACATCTACAATGAACTACCCTATAGTTACCAATGCAGAGGATGGGTTTTAAGAAGGATAAAACAAATTTTACATTCAGAACAATTCCCAAAAATATTTTATACTTAGTGGAAGCAAGGACTATAGTCCAACATTATCTCAATCTCATATTATCTTTGATAGAAAGAGAGTATGGTTGAACAAATATTTTCTGTTTCTAATCAAATGAAAGACAAAACTGAAGTATGCTTTTTCTAACTCAGGAATATATAAAATAATTAAACTGGAAACGATACAAAATTGGAACACCATAAATACAGGAGAGTAAGGCATCTGAATGATGATACTTACTGCTCGGCGGAAGGCAAACATTTCTTCTTGACCAGATAGTAGGGATGCAATACCAGCTGGTGAACCACCTGAACCCACACTACCTTTTGCTAACACATCTCTACGAAGCCTCGTACCTTCTATCTCTGTTTCAAATTGGAAACTGGAAAAGAGAAGGAAACATTTTCACATCAATGCCAAATCTTCAAACTAGAGCAGAAATGCTAAAAAGAACAAGAATAGTGAAGCACTGAAATGTGGCAAGTTTTCTCTGTTGGCATCTAAAAGTCATTTGGTGGTGGAATAAGAAAGCACCCAGAAACAGCAACCCATAACCTCAGTCCATGATCACCCGAATGGAATAACATAACCTATGAACCAGCCAGCGGAATGAAAAGAAAATGCAAATTAAGAATTTTTGTCAGGGTAAAAGTTTTTGGCAGTTTTACAAGTCAACTTGAAGAACTTCATATAGTTGCATCATTTGTGATTTTGACAACAATGCTCCACTTTGATCATGCTTAGTTGAAATCTAGCACCAAAAAATCTATGACTCAAACCAAAAAATTGAGTTTTGGAACCTCTGTCTCCTGTGCCCATGGAAGTACAATGACAAGATTAGGGTATGCTTGCCATTAAAATTCCAGACAATTGATCCTATCATTGGAAAGTCCATAGTGACTTGTGACAAAGGCAAAGGCCTATAAGGCCTATCCTCAAGGAAAAGAAGGCTAGAGGTAGTTTTTGGAATTTTATTGTTTGACAACAAAATGGAGCTTAATCTTGGACTGGAAGAATGGAGACAACTGAAAATCAGGATAAGAATGACAATGGTTGAGTACTTATTAAAAAAAAAAAGATGACAATGGTTGAGGTATCATCTAGTAGTGGAAACTAGACCTTACATGGCCTATAGAAGTTGCAAAAAAGATAAGTTTGCTATGCATGAGTGTTTTTTGGGCAAAGATAAAACGCATTGGAAAAATTATCAAATTTCATTGTTGATGACTTGTTTCATTTCATTATAAGGAGCAATTGCAAAGTTGGATTTATCAGTTGAACCTTGCCAAAGAACACTTGAACCAAGGTAGATAGACCATAGACTAGCCTCACAAACCTGTTTGCTATTCTAACAACTTTCATTTCATTATAAGGAGCAATTGCAAAGTTGGATTTATCAGTTGAACCTTGCCAAAGAACACTTGAACCAAGGTAGATAGACCATAGACTAGCCTCACAAACCTGTTTGCTATTCTAACAACTTTCAACTATAATAAACAACTAGTAACCCTTTCTATTCTGATATTCTAAAAAGCATATTTCTCTCCATGCTCGTTCATGCATCATTTTGTTTCAGACTTAACTCTTAGATCCTCTTGATCAAAGAAGAGGCTGAAAAGCAAGGAGATCTTTTATCCAGCAGCAAACAAAAACAAAATCTCTTCACAGAAAGAAAAAGGAAAGTCAATTATCTTCCTTTCTAACTTCTAACCAATAATTTTTAGGGAAAATTTCTTAAAGTACCCCTAAGGTTTAGCTAATTGACCAACTCTACCCCTACTGTTTGACTATTGTCTTAAAGTACCCCTATTGTTTCTGACAATTGACTAACTCTACCCCTATCGTTAATGTTCGTCAATGTTCCGTCAAAATCTGTATACACATGACATATAAATATTTTTAAAACCCAATACTACCCTCCATCCCCTGCAAACCCAGTTCCTGCAGTAGATACCGTCCTGACCGTCATTAGGCTCACTTCCATTTCCAAAAAAAGATTTCTCCACCTCCCGTTCTTGCTCTTCTTCGAGTCCTCTTTCGAGATGGGCTTCTGTAGTTTGAAATGCAGAGCATCCAAACCCATCACCCAACGGGGGGGTAGGAAGAGAGAGAGAGAGAGATGTCGAAGCTTCTCTGCACATCTACAACCAAACTGAAGTTTTCATTTCTGGTTCAACTTGGTCACTTGGTATATCATCCCCACCTTGATTACTAAATCTGTCTCTCTCCATAGTTCACTCTTGAGACAGAAAATTCTTCTTCAATCCTTCTGTAGTTCAATTTGCTCAAGGGACTTGTCGGTTCGAGCTTTCGAGTCGTATTCCAAAACTAAGAACGAGGAGATTCCCAAAGCTTCCAAACATGAAGATTGCTTTGGAGGAACTTCTCAGTAGCAATGGTTCGACTATTCCCATGGATGAGCATAGTCTACGTGTCTCGATAAACACATCTAATTCCAATTCATCCCCTCTGTCATCATCACTGGACAATGGATCTCCATCATCTCCATCAGATTCAACTTCTTCTCGACGAAAAAAAAGCTGAACAATCTTCTTGCTTCAACCTTAGAGAAGAACAACATCTATGCAACGGATGAGTTCCGCATGTTCTCTTTCAAGGTCCGACCTTGTTCCCGAGCATATTCTCTTGATTGGATCAAGTGTCCGTTTGTTCACCCAGGTGAAAACACTTGCAGGAGAGACCCAAGGAAGTTTCATTACAGTTGTCTTCCTTGCCCTGATTTCAGAAAAGGGGCATGCAGAAGCGGAGATATGTGTATGCACATGGAGCCTTTGAGTGCTGGCTTCACCCGGTGCAGTACAAAACTCGACTCTGCAAGGACGACACAAATTGCACGAGACATGTCTGTTTATTTGCCCACACAGCTGAGGAGCTGTGCATCCTGTATGTCTCCACGGGCTCTGCTGTTCCTTCTCCCTGCTCAACTGCTTCAGCTGCTACTGCTATGGAGATGGCTGCTGCCATGAGCCTCTTGCTTGGTTGACCCTCTTCAGTCTCTGTTATGTCACCGTCCCCTTTCACACCACCCATGTCCCCGTCTGGTAATGGCATTAACCACTCATCCTTGGCTTGGCCACAGCCCAATGTCTCAACCCTGCATCTTCCTGGTAGTAATCTTCAATCTAGTCGCCTGAGATCCTCTCTCAATGCAAGAGACATCCCAGCGGAGGACAGTTTGTTTCTACTGTTCGTCTTCTGGAACAACGACAGCCCATTCTTTTCTTTCTTTTCTTCCGTAACATCTTTCGTTCATCTTCTGGAAATTTTTTATCAGTTGAGTTTTATTTTGAAAATTTGAAAAATAGTAGAGGGCAAATTCGACATTTTATTTTTTCCATTATGATTTAACGATGGCAACAATTGTTAGAAACAATAGGGGTACTTAAGACAATACTGAAACAGTAGGGGTATAGTTAGTTAATTCCCTAAACCTTAGGGGTAGTTTAAGAAATTTGCCCAAATTTTTATGATTGCAACTCCAAGACAAAAAAGGGATGAGTTCGTTAGAAATTAATAATACAACTTCCTGGAAAATGAAAATAAATTAGATAAGCAAGAAAAAATTACAGAAAGGAAGTAGCAAAAGAGAAATACTTGATAGAAAGCATACATCTTTCAACATAAAATAAAATTAATGTTCCAGAATAGAAAACTGAAAACAAAATAACTACCTTTCCAAATCAAAAAGTGTCCCCTCATCTGTTCCCTGAAATATATCATCAATAGAAGAAGCTACCGTACAGAATAGGCAGCAATGGTGATTGTACAGTTCATCAATAAGTGTAATAAATCTCCGGGCCTGAAACAGCACCAAGGAAAAGTTCCGTAAGGTTGAAAGGAAAATGCCCCCCCCCCCCCACCCCAACTGATAGGGTAGAAAAATTATGACATCATAGAGCATGTCAACATGTACTATGAACTCAGAGCATATGTATAGAAAAGAGAAACTATAAAGATTCATCTGAGCTAGATTGAGGTCCATCTCAAGATCTCCTGACATGGTCTAAAAATTGCTCCCAGTTATTAAAAGCTTCAATCTACTTTAGGTGGGTCCTACAATTTCTCATAAGTTCGATAATAATGGAATATTTGACAAAAGAATGCTGATCAAAAAAAAAAATTGACGAAAGGATTAACAATCACTAGCAGCAAAAATACCTTGTCGCGAATGCGCATACTCATCACAGGAATGTCAGATATAAAGACTGTGTGATAGTTTTTAGCTATTGCAATATAATCTGCTGCCCCTACCTGAAGAAAATCAAAATTATTATAAGCCCATACATATACAAAGCAAGTACTTTAGGCAAGATTGTTTCATAAAGTAAGAAGCCAATACATTGAATAGAGCTTAGTATGTATGAAGATAAGATGCTTTGATGTGGTCTGACTCTCTTCCTAGAGTTAATTGAGGATATCATGGATGAATGAAAGCTAACTCTTGGAAAACAAAGTGGCACAGGGTGGGCTTAAATGTTAAAGTCAAATGATAATAATTGTTATCAAATATTAAAAGACTGATAAAAATTAAGATCTCTCTGATTGCTATTTAGTCATGACTCATGACAAATACTGATTACTTACTATTAGCACTAGAATTATAAGATTAATGTTTAAATAAATCATTAGATCAAGATCAAAATAAGAGTTAGATACAACTATAATACTATTTTATCATACAGGGGCAGACATACTACCGGGCGACCACATAGATATTCGAATGTGAATCTTGCTACCCCATTACAGCTTTCAGGAACCTCCAAAGTTCTGATTTAAAACATAATGCAAGCATCAATTGGAATCAGCCTATCTTAGGAGTAAATTGTGTTCAGATTGAATGTGTTACCTTCCAAACATCACTGGAATGGTAGTAGCACTAATCCTTCCTCCAGATTTATTGATGATTTTGCACCATATTTTATCAAATTCTTTAACAGCATGGCTATCTAAAGGCCAGAAGTAGTGAACCTGCATGGATGCATATTGATAAACCATTTTCAACTTATAAGAAAATATATCTCTTGTCTAGGGCTTAAGAATTTGAATGATGCATCAGTGCATCAAATATAGAAGCCATTACTAGGCATAATGGTAAAATCTCAGGCTGGCAAGCGTGAGAATGTGGCTTCGAGTCTGAGAGTGGCCACTGTGCAAAAAAAAAAAAAAAAACAAAGGTTAGAGCTGAATCCAGTCTACCCCTCCCAAGACCCCAGGTAGCTGGGACTGCCATTGGGTAATGGCCTTTATGACCAGTGCACCAAATATCCTGAAACGATGCAACTTCTAAGGATACATCCCAAGAAATGCCATTTGTATCCAAATACCCCAAAATAAGTAAATAAGCTTCAAGTTTAAATCTCGCCTGGTCTATGGATCTTTTTGCTATGTAACGGCGATAATCAATCTCACTTCCAACCGCAACAATTTGACAGTGCTGTTCCAGCTTCGCGACAAATTTTAGGAAGATCTCTCGCTGCATGCCATCCTACACATACATGAAGTGCTTTAACCTTGAATCTCTAAACATGGCCTACTGAATAAGCCGGTAACAGTGCCATAAAAAAAAAGGCAGGTAGCAATACCATTTCTGTTTGATTTTTATGTTAATTACTGAGGGGAAAGAAAAATGATAGAGATCTTAAGGTGTCAGGTTATCCTTCTGCCCACAATTCAAGTAACTTGAGATAGAAGAAGGGAAGTTGTCAGGTGGTGATAAGAGGGATGTAGGACTCAGTGAAAGGTCCTTGGGCATTGTCACCATATCAGAGAAGCTAGAGAATTGGTGTCAGAAATAAAGTTCATTCAAATTTATCCACTTTACTTGCTCATAGCCTTGCCACTTAGCCAGAGATGGAGTTGAAAGGAGTGAATTATATTGGAGATCAGCTGTTCTGGAATAGCATCTTGTCTCTCTTGATTGTACCTTGTGTCTCATGATTTTATGACAGTTTTTATGACCTTTTCCATTCCCATCTTTATAATGGGAATAAATACCATCTTTCTTATGGGAATATAAAGTCGAAGCACCCCTGAGTAAAGTATAATGGGTTATGAAGCCCTGAAGGGACAAAACTTGGGGGGTGGAGGAGGAGATGAAATAAACCTGAAAGAATAGGATGATCAGCCAAGGGGCTAAGGTGATTTGAAGACATCAAACAACCGGAGACACACCTGATTCAAATCTTGTGGTGCTCTATTGCTAGTAGCCACAAGAACAGTTCCAGTACTCAACAATCTGCTTAAAATTCCAGATAAGGCCACAATAGCAAATACATCAACAGTCTGAAATAGGAAACAAGAAATATTAAGTCAAATAACTTGTTTTCACAGTGATAATCCAGTTTGTGAAAAATGAACTAATAATTTATGAAGTGACTGAATACTCTATACTAGTGCCATACATGACAAAGCAGAATGCTACATATAAAATGGAACAATTAATCTTTTTTCTTTTTGAGAAAAGATAACAGATTTCAATAATCAAGGGAGGGATGTACAAGGCCTTGGCAGCAAAAAATAAAAAAGCAAAGCCCACTAATAATTTGGCAATGTATGAGCACTATACAAAAAGTCCCTTCCCAAACCAGATTTTGCTAGGCTATCAGCCAACTGGTTTTAACTCTCTAGGAATCCATCTAAAACTGCACTACAAACAAGAGGCTATCTCCCGAATTTCTAACAAGAGGTGGGAGAGCTTCCAAGGATCAGGAGTCTGTCCAGACACCCAGTTTATGACATTTCTCGAGTCCCCTTCCACTGCAATGGAACTAAGCTGCTTCAACTTGGCAATTCTTAGACCCTCCAGGAGAGCTCGAGTTTCTGTTTCTGTTGCATCAGCAGCATTGGAAGGACCACTAAGAGCCCATGTCACTTTGCCATTTGATCTGCGCACCAGACCTCCTATTTCCAGGTTCCAACTAAGAATTTTGGCAGTTCCAAGGAAATGGAACTAATGATTTCATTCTCCAAGTCCAACCGGGAATCGATTAGTAACAGCCCTGAACCTAATTGGTTTGACAGGATAGCTCATACATCAAGGAACAATTTGTATAGATGGACAGAATGTATCACACAGTGATAGCACAGATGAGGCACATTTCAAGTTCTGTGCTTCGCCTATGTAGAGAACACTGATGTGGGCCCCACAGCTGTGGTCCCACTCTGTCCGTAGGGTAGAATGTATCTAGTCATAGCTGATGGTCAATTTATTATTCTGTTATTCTAGTTGTYATTTAYYTTTCAGTTTTATATTGTTATGTGTTATGATGTAAACACCAAGGGCAGATGTGTC